GCGAGCGCCGTAAAACCCTCTACTGAACCCCCCCCCCCCCCCCCCCACACAAAAAACCATGTCGTGCGTACCAGGGTTCCGATGTTGCATGTCAGATTGAATGGCGAAGCTTTTTGTTGTAGTTGTTGCTGTTTTTTTTATATTTGTTTGTTGGTTGGTTTGTTGTTGATGTTGTTGTTTGTTTGTTTGTTTGTTTTTGTTTTGTTTGGGGGAGGGGGTTGGTAATGTGGTGGGTTTATTGTTTATCTAAATTAGTGGATTGATGTTTGATTGGAAAATACATGTAGTACAAAAATCGCAGACTTGTCGGAGGTTTGACAAATGAGCACAAGCGTCAATGCATTTTGATTGATAGATATGGGAATTTCTAAATTTCACTGATAGAGGCATCAAGAGTAGATTGCAGGAGATACGGGTCTACTAACGCTATACAGACAGATGTATATCTAAAGTTAGCTAGCTTTAAAGACAGGCAGACAGGTAGACAGACAGATGGACAGGCAGGAAGACAGCAATGATAGATAGATAGATAGATAGATAGATAGATAGATAGATAGATAGATAGATAGATTGATAGATATTAATGGTTGGACCTATGGATTAGAAGATGGATGGATGAAATGTATACTGGAATAGCAGAGTTAAACACGTCTGATAATATGGACTACTGTTAATACCTGGAAACTCCAAGAGGTGTTGGTAGAGAAATCAAATACTACAATCTGCTTGTCAAAAGTGTCTGTAATATAAGCATATCGTACTCGATTCCCTGCCTCGGGGTCGACATAATCTAGAGTGATATCGTTCAGAAAGTTACTGGTTGCTGACACGACAGAATCGGGAAAGACGTAGCTAAGAATGGCGTCATTTGATCGCCTGGTGTCGAAAACGACCAACTTTGGCGGGCAGCTGTTGTCAGCGTTTGATGTCGTAACGCCAACCCTGCCAACATCGATGACGTAGAGGTATCCTGTGTTCGGATCCATAGCCATGCTCATCGGGAACTGGAGAGCGCTGCAGTCGCCTTGTTTCTGCCACTCCCAGTTCGGGTAGGGGCGGAGAAAGGACTCGTTGGATGTCTCATTCTTGTGGACTGTGTTTAGACCTGCGGGGACTCCTTTTACGGAGCGCATCTTTGGGACTGTGACAAATATCCTTGACCTGATTTCACTAGCAGAGTAAAAATCACGAATGGTGTCGACCTGTGGAAGATATTAGGGTAGCTATTGAAGCCACGTTAAATTCGTGTTATTCCAACAATTACTTTTCTTTGTTTATATTACGATGTACTGAAAACCACAAGTTGCTCAACCCTCACTTCAAAGACAACACTCCTCCTTAAAAAAATCATGATTTGCACTCTCAAATTGGAGCAGTCAGTGCACTCTAGATACCATACATGACGCAACTCTGATGAAACAGACAACCCAACATACCAACATGGCAATTTAGTCTGAAGTAGGAGATAATTTTTCCACCAATATTTGACCTATGTCCAACGGCATAATGAATCTTGTTTCATGCCTTTACACAAGCGAAGACAGTTGGAAAGATAGAAGCCCCTTCACAACTCTAGACCCTTTTTATATTTATATTCCGTAAGAGAGGTAAGGTCCATCGTGTTTTTTATAATCACGTTTCATTTTTATTTTTAAAAAATCATTTATAAAGGAAAATAACTCTTCTGAAAATCTTTATGAAAGTATATATTTTAAAGAGTAGTATCCCTTTAATATTATTTCGGATAGTGAAATGGGCATAAACCGGTATCTTAAAACGCACTTAATATTATAGTTTTTTTTAATGCTTATTTTCATTTCCTTTTCGAAACGCATTTAATTAAGTAACTAATATCTCTCTCTCTCTCTCTCTCTCTA